AAAAAAAAAAACAAAGAGTTTCAGGTTGCTATGAGCTCTGATGCCATGGCATTCTACCAGGGCAACAGAGTAAGATTCTATCTTTCAAAAAGAAAAAAAATTATCATCAGCTGCCCTTATAAGAACCTTTTTACTTGCTGTTTTATTTTATTTTAATTAATTGTTTATTTTTTTGAGACAGAGCCTCAAGCTGTCCCCCTGGGTAGAGTGCTGTGGCATCACAGCTCACAGTAACCTCCAACTCCTGGGCTCAAGCAACTCTCCTGCCTCAGCCTCCCAAGTAGCTGGGACCACAGGCTCCTGCCACAATGCCTGACTATTTATGGTTGCAGCCATCATTGTTGTTTGGCGGGCCTGGGCTGGATTCAAACCTGCCACCTTAGGTATATGTGGCTGGTGCCTTAGCCACTTGAGCCACAGGCTCTTTTAAATGGAACCAAAAACTTTATCTCAATCCAGCATGCATGTTGCATCTGACTTTACCGTATACTTCATTTGCTTCACAAATAGTTGTTACAAATATTCCCACAACTTTATTTTTCTTTGGTCTCCATTCTGCTAAGCACGACACCGTGTGTTAATTGCTCTCCTGTAAGGAGACTGTGGATGCCCTATCATGTTTCTAACACATGCCTCAAAGAACTTCAGAGCTGCCTTTTTATCTGTGAACTTCTTTTTTTTTTCCAGTTTTTTATTTATTATTAAATCATAGCTGTGCACATTAATGCAGTCATGGGGTACAATGTGCTGGTTTTATATACAATTTGGAATATTTTCATCAAACTGGTTAACATAACTTTCGTGGCATTTTCTTAGTTATTGTGTTAAGACATTTACGTTCTACATTTAGTAAATTTCACATATACCCTTGTAAGATGCACGATAGGTGTGGTCCCACCAATTACCCTCCCCCCGCTCCCCCTTCCCATATTTTTGGGCTATAATTGGGTTATAGCTTTCATATTAAAGCTATAAATTAGTTTCATAGTAGGGCTGAGTACATTGGATACTTTTCTTCCATTCTTGAGATATTTTGCTAAGAAGAATATGTTCCAGCTCCATCCATGTAAACATGAAAGAGGTATTATCTGTGAACTTATAAAATAGGTTTTCAGTATTTTTTTTTTTTTTTTTT